CTGGCGATCGCGTGGCAGGTGATGAAGTACTTGAAGCAGGTGGCGGAGGGCTCAGGACTGACGTGGGTCGTCGGGGGAGACTTCGACATGCCGCCACAGGAGCTGCTGCAGCACGACTGGTTACACTTTGCAGACGCTGTATGCGTTGCACCGCAGGGGCCCGCCTGTGTCCAGGCGGTGCCTGCCACCACGCTGGACTACTTTCTCATCCACTAGCCGATGCTCAATGGAGTCAAGTACGCGGTCGAGGCTAGCGTCGAGGCGATCACCTGGCTTCACCGACCCGTCGCCGTCACCGTGGCCAGGCGCGCCGAGGCTCCGCTCAGGCTGGTTGGGTGCGGCAGTTCGACCAACCCCTCCTGGGACCTTCCCGACGAAGGTTTCAGGGGGTCGTCGAAGGGGGGTTCTTCCAAAAAGCCTTCCTGAATACGGTTCTAGGACAGTTTTTTTTGGGTTCTTCCGAGCAGCTGTCCCGCGGAAGGCTTTAGAGAGTTTCTGGGAAGGTTGTTCCAACAAGCACTTACCGAGGAAGGTTTTAGGACGGTTTTTCGGGGGTCTTCCAAACAACACTCCGGAGGAATATTTTTTGGCCGGTATTTTAAGAGGGTTCTTTCAAAAGCCTTCCGGAGAAAGGTTTTCGGCTGGTTTTTAGGAGGCGCTTTCCAACGGCGCATTCTTGAGGCCGCCCGCCCGCCCGCCCGCGTGCGCGCGCGGCTTGCGGGGGCGTGGTTTGCGGGGACGCGAATGTTGTGCGTGATGTACGGTGGGAACTGTGGCGTCTGTGACGCAATTATTGTATACTTTGCGAGGGATCGTGGCCTCGAGGGTGCGAATATTGCACAACCTACGGAGGTTTATGGCCTCGAGGACGAAGGTGCAACTATGGCATCACTTGCGGGGGTCGTGGCCTCGGGGGCTTGCATACTGTATAAATTACTAGGGATCGTGGTTTCGGGGGGGCGACTATTTTATAGTTTCCGAGGGACCGTGGCCTCGGGGACGCGACTCATGTATAATTAATGGGTGAACGTGGCTTCGAGGACGCGAGTATTTTGCGTTTGCGAGGGATCGTGGCCTCGGTATAATTTACAAGGGATCCGGACGCAGACATTGAATCATTTACGCCGGCGCGGGTCTAGTAAAGTTTATCGGGGAATTACGAGGTGGAGGATGCAGATACGGCGTGATTTACGATGGATCGTGGCGTCGGGGGCGCGTACATTCTGTAATGTATGCGGGGCTTTGGCTTCGGGGACGCAAGTAGGGCATAATTTGCGAATGTTTGTGGCCCCGGGGGCCCACATACAGTTCAGTTTACTTGGGATTATGGTTTCGGGTACGCGAATATAGTATAATTTATACAGGGGCTCATGGCCTCGGGCACGCGAGTACGGTGTAATTTGTAAAGGTTTTCTGCCTTGGGGGTGCGACTGTAGCGTTTTTTTAAAAACGTTCCCCACGACCCTTCCAGAATTTCTGAGACCACCCGGAGGGCGTGGTGTAGGGTGGTTCGGGCCGTTTTGCGCGGTTTTCAACATTTGACAGTGGGAAGCAGAAGCAGACCCATCACATTGGAAACTGGATGCTGGAATTGGCGCAGGGAGCAACAAGCTTAACCCTCTGAGCCTGGTGGCCCCGTGAGGGGGACTGGCGGATACATGCTCCTCCTCATCTGTCTCATTCCTCCTTCCTGATCTTCCCTCTACCCTCTCCTCCTTCTCCGCCACCTTCCCCTGCCCTTCCTCCTCCTTCCTTTCCCTGAGGATTCCGCGATTATTTGTTTCGAAGCCGTGTCGCTGAACGACTGTCCTTGCACAGATGGAGACCATACTGGGTGCGATATGCCAGAGTGCGTCATGACCATGGAAGTCGGACAGATGTGTGAGGCTGACGCTGACCTTCCGAATGGGGACCCCAGGAGTTTTGAGCAGAACAACTGCTATGGAGGTCTGGACATTTGGAGAGCTGTCAAGTGTGCCGCGCCACCAGAGACATACGTGCACCATGCGCGGAACTGTGCGTCTTCGGAGGGTACGCCGCTGGAGGCCGGGGCGGGGGTTATGAACATCATCAAAGGGTTGTCGGTTGCTGATTGCTCAGCATTGTGCGACGAGTTTCAATCTTGTGTGGCCTTCAATTATGGTGTCGACCATGGACTCGTAGACCCGTGGACCACGTCGATAGGTGATTGTCAACTAATGGCGACGTCCAATCACACTGGCTGCCCTGCTGATTACTACAATCTGGATCTTTACATCAAGATGTCCTGCCATAAGCTCGCGGGCCACAGCCAGTGTGAAACAGGTGCGTTTTGCTCCGCCTCTGGACATTGCCTGAGTTGCGAGCAGTGTGGGTGCATAAGTGGCTTCGACGGCACATGTGGGCACTGCGCTCCCCCTTCTGTCGGAGAATCTTGCGACATGCTTGCTTATCATGTGTCCCGCGCGGGTCCCGTTACACCGTGGCCGTCAGGGTTCAACGTTTATGGGACCGAGGAAGAGTATCTAAGGGGCTGGCCGCCTTCCGCCAGTCCCCTGCTGTTTCTGTAAGGCCTTCCCTTCCTTTCTGAGGCTGTCGTCCTTCTCGTCCTCCTCCCTCTCCTCCTTCTCTGTCCTCTAACACTAAACGTTTCCGTTGGCAAGTTGTAGTAGCAGTAGCAGTAGCAGCAGCAGCATCAGCAGTATCTGTAGCGGTATCGGTATGAGTATCAGTCGTAGTACTAGGGTTGAAGCCCCTTTCCTGGCGGGGCCTAAGCGTCACCTGCGGGCTACAGGATATAATTGGTGGTGGTACGAAGGCGTTACTGGGAACGGGGTTATAAACGTCACATCTGGCGGGGTGTCTTGCAGATGTCGGAACGCCGCTCTCGCCGCAGCGTTCCTCATCTTGCCCCCCAGGATTCCGTCGGATTCCTCAAGGCACCATCTGAGTTCCATGAGAAATCTTCAGGGATCTCGGGGAATTCTGAGGAGGTCTGAGGAGTCCTGACAGAATCTGAGGAGTCTCCTTGCATGTCTTGGGGGATCTGCGGATTCCTGAGGACAGTGGAGAAACCAAAGGAGCGGGATCCAGACGAGTCCTGCTGAATCCGGGGGATCCTGAGGGAATCCTGCGTGCGAGTGAGAGTCCGTTGGGAATCTGAGGAATTTGGGGGGATCCTAAGGTACAGGAGTCGTCGTTAACTTTGCGGAATCCTGGGGGAATCTGGAGGGTTCCCGGGGGAATCTGAGGTTTCCTCAAGCCTTCCTGCAGATTCCAAAAGGGGTTCCTGAGGATAGCCGAAGGATTCCTGAAGATTCCTCGAGGATACCAGAGGATTCCCAAAGAATATTTGCATTCTCCGAAGGATTCCCAAGGCATTATGATGGATAGTCAGGGTGCCTGAAGGATTCCCGAAGGGGTTCCTGAGGGATTCCTGAGGGATTCCTGAGGGATTCTTGAAGAATTCCCGAGAAATTCCTGTGGGATCCTTGAAGGATTGCCGAGAGATTCCTGAAGCGTGCCTGACGGCTGCCCGAAGGATTCCTTGGTCTCTGGAGGGATTCCTGAGGATTCCTGGGGGATTCGAGGAGACTTCTGAGACTTCTGAGGGACGTATGAGGCTCTTGAGAGGTTTATGAAAGGCTGATGTGAGGCTTCTAAAGGTCTTTTGAGAGTTTGATGAGAGACATCCGAGAGGTTCATGACAGCCTTATGAGAGGCTTCAGTAAGGGTTCTCAGAAGCTGATAATAATCTTCCGAATCTTCTCAAACATTTCAGGCGTTTCTGGTAGGATGTGAAGGCTGTTTGAGCTGTTTCCTAAACTGCTTCCGAGACGCTTCTGGTAGGATAGAGGCTTATGGCAGCGTTATGGGAGGCTTGCGAGAGGCTCCTGGAGGAGAAGGAGGAGGAGGCGGAGGAGGCGGAGGGAGAGGAGGAGGACGAGGAGGAGGAGGAGGAGGAGGAGGAGGAGGGGGAAGACGAAAACACAAACTTATACTACATAGTTTACCTCATGTGTCCATCGGCCCCCTCGCCTGAATACTGCCGATCCGTTGCAGAATGCTGTGTCTGTAACCCCTTTCGTTCAAGCTTTCTCGGTCCAGGCTCCGAGCAGTGCATGGCAGGATTGCTGCCTGGCGCCCTGACCGGGATGGCGCACGTGGGCGGGCAGGCGAGCCTCCTCTGGCTCTCGCGCTGCCCGTCGGTGCTGGCCTGCCCGCCCTGCCCCCAGTGCCCAGCGTGCCTTGGGGCCTCTCCCAACCCGCCCGCTCCGCTCTCCAGCGGCGAGCTGGGGGCCTGGGCGCTACTGCTCTGCGCGGGGTGCTTCTTCTTCACCGGCCTGGCGCTGGGCGTGTGGCTGACGCCAACGCGCGTGGTGGTGAAGTCGGCGCCGCAGGATGGTGGATCTCAGTCAGCGGCTGAAGGCGTGGGCGCTCGTGTTGTACAACGACGGAGCCCCGCCTCGATTATGGCACCAACGGCGAATTTTGGGAGTGGTGGAGTCGTCGGAGACTAACGTGCTGGTGTGCACGCCGGACGACGACGTCTACAGTGAGATGCTGCCGGACCTCGACAGCCAGCAGGACGTGGCAGCCGTGCGGTTTTCCGACCGCCGCTGGCCCCCCCCTCGCGGCGCTCCTCGAGCGGAGTGCTACCGCTTCAGGAGCGACCTGGGGCCGGCGGACTTGGCCGCTCGGGAGGCCGACGCCGTGGCGCCGGCGAACGAGATTTTCGTGGCGAGAGAGAGAGAGAGAGAGAGAAAGAGAAAGAGATTGAAAGAGAGAGAGAGAGAGCCAACGACCGCCCCGCTGTGCCGCCGCCAGGTGGAGCCCTGAAGCTGCTGGCGGAGGTCCTAGCCGAGGGCGCAGCCGCCCCAGTGGGCCCGCCGCCCGCGGGAGGACCTGAGAAGGGGCTAGCCCGGGCGCCAGTCTCGGACGCGCGCATCCTGGATCTGCAGATGGTGGAGGTGCCCGAGGGTGCGCCCCCAGCCCGCCGTCGGTGGCCGTGGCGAGACGCGGTGACGATGTTCCCGGTGGTCCAGTTCAGCGACTGGCCGATTCCAGGTCCGAGGGCGGTGGCCTGGTGTGCCGCCTTCATCAACAGGTGGGGCGGTGGTCCCACGGACCACCACGCGTTCTTCAAGCAGGTCTACGGGCTCACGAAGACCGACTGGGGCGTGGAGGCCCTCGGGTGGTTCTTCGGATGATGGAGGAGGCCGGCTGCTACGACGGCCTCGACGTGCCCGACGCGGCGGCCCTGGAGGTGGCGATGCGCCACGCGCAGCTCGTGGAGTACGTGCGCGCCCAGGGCGCCGCCGGCGGCGGCAAGGGCAAGGGCAAGCAGGGCAAGAGCGGAGGCCTCCACGACCGCGCTGGCCTCGTGGACGAGGCATCCGTGTTCCTGCAGGCGCCCATCGGGACACGGGCGAGGCGATGTCTGCCCCAGACCTCCTCGACTACGTCGCGAGGGAGGTGGAGGGGGACGCGTCGGTCATGAAGCAGGTCAGGAAGGCGAGTGAGGAGCGCCGCTTGCTCTCCTCGCAGCAGCAGTCTGGGCGGGCCCCGAAGGGCCAGCAGGAGCAGGGGTGATGCAGGCTGGCCGGGGGGCGGAGGGCCCCGACCGCCGCCCGGCGTCTTCGAGGAGTTTTTCGAGCCTGCGCGGCCAGGGCGATGGCCGACCGCGCGACGTCCTGCCCATCCCTCTCGAGGGCCTCGCCACCGGGAAGGATGCTAATTCGGTGCCACCTTGTCGTTCAGTGCTTCGGCGAGTTCAGCGTCGGCCCCACTTGCAGTCTGGGGCGGCGGAGACCATCGCCGCCCTCGACCACATCTATTGCGGCGCGGGCGAGCCGAGAGAGGATCGAGCTCCCCGCCCGACGGCTGCGCAGGCCGAGTGCGCGACTCGGGTCCGGGAGGCCCGGTCGCAGCTCGGTCCGCCGCCGCCCGACGTGGGGCCCTCGGGGGCCTTTGGCGAGCTCTGGGGATCGCGGCGATGCGATGGTGGGCCGTCTGTCGTCGCGCCGTTCGACGTGCACGACCTCGCGCTCCCGCCCGCAGGCTTCGAGCCCGTCGACTTGGAGTCAGCTGGGGGCGCGGCGGGCAGATTCACCGTCGACCGTTTGAGAGGGGAGCTCTTGCCAAGAGAGCGCGCGGAGGTCAAAAGGCTGGAGGCGGTCGTCAGTCGCCCGTATTGGGATCTTGTATTTCGACAACGGCCGCGGGTTTACGCTGCCTTCCTCCGCCGAGCCGAGGCCGCGGGGCTCGTCGAGTGCCGCCGCCTGGCGGGGGCGGAGGTGGGCGTCTTCTCGGTCTGGGAGATGTCGGGGGAGCAGAGAATGATTATAGATGCAGGGCTCGCGAACTGCGTGTTCGACGAACCCGACTCCGTGGAGCTCGCCGCGGGCCGGGCCTTCAGCGCGGTGCGCGCGGACGAGGGGCCGCCCATCGTCGTGGGGGGCGCGGGCGCCCAGGTCGCCTTCTACGCGATGCTGCTCAGGGAAAGCCCTTCGCCGTCTCCGACCAAGGTGGCGCAGCGACTCTCTTCGGGGCAGAGCCCTCGCGGTGCAAACGGCACGGGCGAGTTGGAGCCGCATTGCCTCCAAGATGCCTTTAAGGCGGCAAATACGGCCTCCACGATGCCCCAACAAAGGCTGGTCTGGCCCCAAGGGAGACCAAGATAGCTGCTAGACGTCTCCAAGACGGCCCGAGGTGCACCCAAGACCGCCCAATATGGTCTCATTCGCATCTAAGACGGCATAGTCGGCTCCCGTGAGGCGTCCAAGATGGCCCAAGAGGCCTGCAAGTAGCCTCCGACATGAAACCTATGATGATGAGGGTGAGAACGACGTTTGGGATGAGTATGGTGATGATGGTGACGATGGTGATGTTGCGTATGCTGATGCTGCTTCTGCGGGCAATACGTGTGATGCTGCTGGCGATGGCGCTACACCATATGACAGCGAGAGCAGTGTTGGGCATGACGATTGGGGGGAGGCGAGGGAGGAGGAGCAAGCAGGAACGCTGGGTGCTGCGCTTATCAAAACGAGGGCCCAACACCACCTCATTGTCAGGAAACAAGGGGATTGCATAGTTTGGGAAGGCAGCAACGTGTGGCAGAGAGACGTAATCAAAATAAGCAGAGGGTGGCGGGTCGGTCCTCGGTGAACTTCGTCTTGGTCCAGGCGCGCTGGCCAGCGACGGCAGCCGCCAGCGGCTGCTGGCGGTTTTTTGTTGGGGCGGTCGGGCTTGGGAGGCTTCCTGGGGCTGCCGCCGCCGCCCTTCCGACCAGCCCGACCACCGCCGCGAGCGCCAGCAGCGCGCCCAGCGCCAGCCATCGTCGGCGACGAAAGATGGAGCTGCACTCGGAGCGGCCTCAGATCTCTGAGGAAGAACACACGAAATCACGATCTCTCTCTCGAGCCTAGGACGGCAAGCCATGATGGGCACACGAGTTGCCCACAGCTCACAGTCGCAGGGGTGGCTCGAAAGGGCCGATTGGGGGGGCGCGGGCGGGCGCGC